GCCTTAGGACAGACTGGGTTCTATATCATATAGAAATATGGCAACTGGTCTACCATTCTTTTGAAATGGGTTACTACGGGAAAAATCTTTCTCGTCAGTCATGATCGCCTTTAGTGTTATTACGGTTATTTATCCAAATAACGGAAGTGACAAACCATTTTCTATTCATAAGTTTATATATGTTTATATGTTGTGTGTGTGTGTGTGTGTGTGTGTTTTCTTGTGAGAAATTCCTGCTTATAAAGTGTCATTTGGTTGAAAGGTCATATAACATGTTTTTCACATCAGTCAATTAATTCATTAAATATATTTTTAATAGATTAAAATAAAAATCAGTAACTTTATATGTCTTTCTCCTGATGATGACCGAAGTAGTAATTTGACGTTTGTAATCGGAGACTTATTAAAGGATTTAAAAACTCAGTTATAAATCTTAAAAACTGTTATTAAAGTTTATATCTTCGTGGGAATTAGGAGAGAAAAAAACCGATTTGGAATCGATTTGAAATGTTCAAAAAAGTCATTTTTATTGCGATAAACACTTTAGTATTGAATTTTGAAATTTAGAGGAATGGGATCTAGAGAAATCATTAAAGGTTTATTTATTGACATCGATTTTTGTTTTTTAATCAAAACAATTTGAAAATGATTGCAAAAGAACAGAAAAAAAAACTCAAAAAAATTTTATTGGAATCAAAAAAGAAGAACAAGAAAGAAATATTCGTTTAAGGACAATAAAATAAAACAGTAAAGATGAGATGATGCCAATACCAAATAATTGGTAGAGTAAATGGTATAGACGAACCAACTATATTTCTGAGATGGGGTATTGTGTACATTAGTTACATTATTCGGACTATTGTCCTCATCTTTGTCGCCATATTTATTACAAGGAGGCACGGTGGAATAATGGATAGCGGCTTGGATTGAGGAATCGGAGAGCCGAGTTCGAATTCCACTCGAATCCATTACATTCACTTATGTGCTAACACCCTTGGGAAAGGTGTGAATCCTCTTCTTCTCCCTCCAGCTAAGGGTAAATAGCAGGACAGACTGGGTTCTATAGCCTTGGATGGCAACTGGTCTAGGAGAAGGAAAACTCTGAATTCAAACCTGCTCTTAGATGAGGGTAAATGGAGTCTCTCTGAGCCTTGGTTGGCAGTCCATTTAGTGTTGGTGTCATGATAAAAAGCACCCTCGATAGTCCTAGCGAAGCATCAAGAATTCAGCTACTTGACAAAATTATGAACTACACCAATCAAAGTAGTAGTGAGTTCAATCTCGGCTGAGGCCGCAAGATGATGAGATGATGATTACAACGTTTCATCTGTTGCACGCTCCGGCCTTCTTCAGGTGGTTGGAATGTCGAACTGAACCCATTATTATCTGTCTATATTTCTGAGATGAGGTATTATGTACACTATTTACATTATTCGGACTATTTTCCTCATCTTTCAACGTTTCGGCCGATGTATGCTCCAACCATCTTCAAATTCGAACTGAACTCTTTATTTCGCTTACTGCCATGTTTAATGGATCTCAGTTGTCAGTTATCTCCTGTTAATTCCCCTCTCCAAGTTCTCCACTGCTTTAACCGCGTATTGAACTCACAATATTTGGGTCCTGTGACTGGATCTAACTAACGCTTTTATCCACTGTGTGTCCTTGAGGCATGTGGAACTAGAATAGTCTACCCCAGTTAGGGAAATAAAAATTCAGTTCGACATTCCAACCACCTGAAAATATTCGAGCTTACAAAAAAAAAACGTTAAAATAAATATGGCGACAAAGATGAGGACAATAGTCCGAATAATGTAAATAATGGACGAACCGTTTTCGAATTCCAGTTTAGTCAATGTGTTCTCACTTCCTTCAATAATCCTTCACTTTGTCCTGGCGCTACATATTCCGATATATATCTCATGACTTGTATATCACAATTGTTGTTGACAAAGAGAGATCACACAGATCAAGCGTCCTTCCTTTGTTAGTGTTACCATGTAACGCAGTACTATCTGACTCATATTACTTGGAGAAGAAATAAAATCATTTCTACTAGCCAAGAAATTCCCTTCATGACCAAGTATGGCGTCCCAACGAAAACCAAGATCATGGGACGAGTCAAATTGCAAAAGCAATGAAATTATTTCAAACTAATTCGTTTCAGGGACGATCTTAATTAACTATTCCTTAAGCTTACTACAACATCAGAACAAATGGATATAAATGAAATGATTGTATTGCGTCAGTCTTATCAGTGTTAAGAATATGACTACGATGAAAATCAATATTATAAACCCGACGAGCGATGCTGCTGGGTAAGATGAAACTACGAAGACGTAATTCAACCAGATTGCCTTTAGAAATAAGTGAAAATAATTGACATCACTTTTACTCGCACCTCAGGCTATAAAGAATATTTCTTTTCCACCATTTTCAAGCATCCGTTTCAGATGATCTGCATGTGATGACATTACCACCATTTTTTGCAATATATATATATATATATATATATATATATATATATGTATATATATATATAATCTTATAAATGTAAGTAATTATACTCGTCCGAAAAAACCTTAGATATTTTGGCCTGTAAATGAACAAACCAGTACCCAAGGAAAAATAAGGGACAAAAAAAGAAAGAACTAAGAACATGAAATTGAGGTGAAAACAATCGTCCAGAATCCAAGTTCAGAGTCCAAAGAAAAAACCTACAAAACGAGTAAAAAGAAAAGTAACTTTGTAAAATAACGGATTTTTTTTCGTCTGAAGATGGAACAGAGCTTGATACTTTAATTCAATTTAATTCAAATAATTATATTGAAGTTTTCAAAAAGAAAAATTTTTGAGAACTCTTATGTAATTGTTTGGATCATATTTTTAAATAATTATATATATATATATATATATATATATACATATATATATATATATATAAACTTGAAAAAATAATTTAACTAACACAAGGACTGATTAAAATTAACCATAAAAAATGAAAACTACAGATAAATTTCACTTTCTTCATCAACAGTCATTCACTCCTGTTGTTCACTGCTACTAAAAAGCAGGGATTTTTTTCTTCTCCTGATGATGGCCATGCTGACCCGAAACAACGACAGGGTTAATTATTTTGGTTGTTTTTAGTATATTTTTCATTTTGTCATTCTTTCTAAATAGGTCTAGATATTTTGTAATTTCTGTAAATAGTTCTGGCTTGTTCTTGCTGTATGTTGAGACATATGCTGGAGTTTGGTCGACGTTACGTTTCTTTGGATTTCGTAGATATACAGGTAGTCGTTGACGGACCCGTCGTAAGACGGCTTGGTCGTAAATCGCACGATGTTAAATTACCGAGCATATAGTATTGTGTGTCATGATGTGTCACGATATAATAATAATAATAATAATAATAATAATAATAATAATAATTTTTTCTTTAACTCCTCCTTTTCTTCTTTCTTGTCCTCTTTTCATCTACCAGAGAGAGAGAGAAAGAGAGAGAGATAGTACAGGTATATAATCCTAGTAGATCCTAGCAATATCAAATATTAAAACTGATCCACGAAAAGAGCTTAATGTATTTATTATTTCAGAGCAAATAATTAGTACACAGCAAAATCCAAGATTACCCATATGAGGTAATTTTGTATTTTGTTGTGTATTGAGTGTATATTGAGTGAGTGTATGTGACAGTCAATCTTGCTAGAAATGAAGTATTTCAGGTAACCTCGAAATAATTTGAAAGAAACACAGATAACCATAAACTAATATCGATCACAATGTATACTAAAACTTTAAAGTTTTAAATTGAATATATCAAGGTATCGATCGAATAATTTCCTGACGACTGAAGAGCTCATCTTTTAATTTAATATAATCAATCCATGCTTTTTTCCGGCTTTTTTTTTATTGCTAAGAATCGACGGACGCAAATATTCAATCAATCGGCAATATAGTTAGTTATGTGCATTTTTTTATTGTATTTTTGGATCAATATACACCATCTATCCCAATTAGTTTAATGGACGAAAATCATAGTATCTACTCCTGATCGAACACGTCTGAGCGTGTGTGTGTGTAAGCACGCATGCATGTATATATGTGTCTGTGTCAATGCGTATGCGTGCGTGTGTTTTGTCCTATAAAGTTTATACCCACCTTGTGAATATAGCACTTCTTTTTTCCATGAGAATTAATTGATACCGTCTATGATGAAGATTAAATGTTAGGCTGACATTAGCTAAAGTAGCGATTCAATTGTCGTCTGGGCATTAATTGCTTTCCAACTGTTTCGCCATGATGCGAGATGTGCGTAGTTTTAACAGAACAACCGCATGCTCTTAGTTGTAAACCTTTTTTCAAACATTTATTTGAAAAGACTTAATTAACTTTCAGCTCCCGACACCAGATGCTCTTGAAGAATATGGCTGCATTAAAAGAAGGATTTAAGGTGTATGATGTCAGTAAATTTTTACTATACTTGATTTCGCTCCCATGCATTATACTAGAATTATCTCCTTTGCACTGGCGACACCAGGTGGCAGTGTCTCTTTTGACAACTGCTCGAACATGTATACATGCCATCTTCTTTGACTAAATGCATAAACTATTGTGTGTATAAGAATATGACGAAGACACAATGTGTATAATAAAAGGGAGAAATGTTTTAATGTTTGTATTTAAGTGACGTTTTATTTGAAAAATAGTGATAAATAAATTCTTTGATAATTGTATATGCTATACAGTAAGATAATCTAATAATAATAATAATAATAATGACACTTGATTTGAAGATATTTCCGATCTGCAAGCTTATGTGCTGACTTTATTGAAACCTATCACCAATCGCACACATTTAGCTGTGATGCATGTGCCTCGTGTACTTTTTTGAACTGGGGTCATGATGAGTACTTTGGATTACATGTATATTTGTCACCCAGTATCATTTGGTTGGCGTCACTTAAAATATTCAGTAATAACAATAATAATAGTACTAGTATTACATAGATAGATAGATAGATAGATAGATAGATAGATAGATAGATATAGATATATGAAGAGAATGGCAGATAGATAGATAGTGTTGAAACTTGACTAATGCATGGAATAATAATGCAAGTAGAACAAAATGTATTGAAACAAGAAAGTGTACGCAATATTTACATATAGTCTTTTGTATATTCCTGGAAGACCGTTCCTGGAGAATAGTGTTGACTGAGTCGCAGTCGGGCAGAGTCTCTGGTTGAATCTCTTGATTCCTCCTCTCTTCCCGGTACCAACCATATTTATATGGTCGGTACTCCACTATGCAAATTAGGTGGATCCTATCCAACAGATAGATAGACAGATAGATAGATAGATAGATAGATAGATAGATAGATAGATATGAAGAATGATAGATAGATAGATAGATAGATAGATAGATAAAACTCCAAAATATATTTAATATCGTCTACAAACTTAACCTCTTCAAGTCTAGAATCAGCTTATATCTATCCTATATATTCACATCATAGGCATATCTAACCTGCACTTTGTACACACACATTATAATCTAAGTCAGCAAGACTCTATCTTGAGTGGCTCGGTCTTTTATCAGCTTCGAACATTGTCCGACACTATGTTTTTTACATCAAGGCCGTCCAACCAGTTCTCAAGATATTCAAAATGGCTGACTATATCCTGGACAGTCCTGGAATAATCATATTGTATAATTTTTTTACGTTTTCCCGATCGTCATCAGGTGCTTATCGTTTCCAACAAACTTCAACGTGCTTTGAACAAAATCTCGTTTGGCAGTAGATCTCGTTTGGTAGTAGATCTCGTTTGGCAGTAGACCTCGTTTGGCAGTGTATCTCATTTGGTAGTAGCTCTTGTTTGGCAGTAAATCTCGTTCGGAGACACCTTGTTCGGTGATAGATAAAAAGAATACAACTCTAATTCAGTCGTAGAACAACTCGAGGATAGTGGCTTCATATATTCATTGCGTACAGAACTTGTAATCTTTCACGCATACAGAATCTCCATTAAAATTCTTATACGTTCATTCATTCGTCTACATTCGTCCATGCATCGAACATTTCTGTTCCTCCCGGAATATATCTTTGGACTCTCGGGAAGAAGCAAAGGGTCTGCAATGTTATCGGTCCTGACATGGCATCGCGACTTCAGTCACTTTCCTGCCTTCATGAAATATCTTCTCTTTATCTTTTCTATAAATATTTCCATGGCAATTGCTCTAATGGTCTTTCCTCGTTGACACCTCGACTGCATAAATTTAAACGTACTACTAGATTGGCAATTAGGTCTCACCTTTTTACTGTTGAACTGGTTAAATGTAACCGTAAGTTCTATGCTAATAGTTTCTTCCCTCGCACTTCGCCTGTGGAACACTTTTCCGTCTTCTTGCTTTCCTGTTACCTACAATCTTTAAAAGAATTTAAATTCAACGTCAACAGCCATCTTCTGTCTTCCTAAAAGCTGTTCTCTTATTGCCCTTTCTCCTCACCAGTTTTTGCATTCTCTTTCTTTCCGTTGCGTCCTTGTGGCATTATTGCCTTGCTAGGGGTGAAATGATTTTTAAAAAATTGCACGCTTTTGAACCAATTGTAGCTCTTACGTGAAAAGCTAATTAAACGCTTTCATAAGAAAGTGAGCAGGGCGGAGGGAATTCGAAAGAACTGGTTATTCAGTTCGATTTTTTTTAATTCTTTTATATAAATTCAGGTAGCATTTGGTACTACGCTACTGTGTGAGGAAACTCCGTCTGTGACCTTGGCTGATTCAAAACAGTTTAGCTTTAAGAGGAGGGCAAGAAAGATTACTTTATTAGCAAATATTCACAAAGAGAGATCCTTTCAATTTACAAGAAAGAGTTTGTGAATATTCCCATTGTAAGCGACGGACCATAGCGATTGTCATGGCTTCTTCTTCTTCTTCTTCTTCTTACTACTACTACTACTACTCAACCTTCTTCTTCTCTTCCTACTTCACCTCCTTCTTCTTCTCCTCCTCCTCCTTCTTCTTCTCCTCCTTGTGCTTTTTCTTTCTTCTTATTGTTACTCTTCTTTTTCTACTTCTTCTCAAACTCCTCCACCTTCTTCTTCATCGCCTCCTCCGCTTTCTTCCTCTTCCTCCTCCTCCTTCTTCTGCTTCTATTTCTCCTCATTCTCCTTAAACTTCTCCTCCTCCCCTCCTACACCTTCTTCTTCTTCCCCCATCCTCCACCATCTGCTTCTTCTGTTTCTCCCTCTTTTCCTCAAACTCCTCCTCCCCTCCTCCTCTCCTTCTGCTTCTTCTATTTCTCCTCCTCCTTCCCTCCTCCTCCTCCTTCCCTCCTCCTCCTTCTTCCTCCTCCTTCACCACCATCTGCTTCTCCTATTTCTCTTTCTTTTCCTCCTCCTCCTCCTTCTCCCCTCCTCCTCCCCCTTATTCTTCCTCCTCCTCCTCCTTATTCTTCTGCTTCTTCTTCTCTAGGAAGTATTTTTTTTACAAACTTCATTGAATTGTATTTCAAAAAGACATAGTTCTCTCCCGTCCGGACGTTATTTAATAGATGCGGATAATTACTAAACTTTTAGTTACTTGTACAGGATGCGCGGGTGGTGGAACGGCTATCAGAGTGAAATCGGAGAAACGGGTTCAAATTTCAGCTGTTGCGTTCATTTTCGCACTAAGGCGTTTTAATCCGCCTCCCCTCCCCTGGCATGGGCTTAAATAACAGGGTAGGGGGTGCACTGTAGTCTTGCATAGCAATCCGTCTCAGAGAAAAGAAAACACAACTTCAAACCGTGGAGCAAACAACAGGAGATCACTCTTTCCCAATAAGAATGACAGATAGATAGATAGATAGATAGATAGATAGATAGATAGATAGATAGATAGATAAATATGAAAAGTGAGATAGATAGATATGAAGAGAAATAGATAGCTAGATAGATAGAACTCCAAAATATATTTAATATCATCTACAAACTTAACCTCTTCAAGTCTAGAATCAGCTGATATCTATCCTACATATCCTCATAATAGGCATATCTAACCACCTCTTTGTATACACTTATTATAATCTAATTCAGTAACTCGCTATCTATCGAGTGGCTCTTCGGTCTTTCATCAGCTTCGAACATTGTCAGACCCCATGTTTTTAAAAATAATTTAAATGCTTGAGTTAAAACATGATTGAAACATAAAGAATTGCAAGAACTATATTCCTTGTTTCTTTCTTTTAAAATCCTAGCATACATCGCATTTTCCAAAAAAGACCCTTTGCCTCATCGAGTTCCCTTCCATCCCATTTTATCTTTTAGGACCACTTTTTTCCCAATAATACATGGCAATTAACATATAATAATGAAAATGAATCTGTGGAGAGCCATGATCGCCTACGTCCTGAAAGGACATGGCATTATAAGATTTGTCCCTACCAACAGAAATGGATATAAGAAGATTATGTTGTTCTATTCTTTCTATATTTGTTTTCTATGTGACTAGCACCTCCCAAATTGTAAACATGCTGCTATACAATCTTCCTGCTTTCATTTCTTCCATTTGATTTCGGATACTGAATAAATTACTTGAATATTTACCCGTTTTTACTGCGGTGCCAGGGATCAGTACTCATGTTGCAACACAATCTTCCTAACTTCATTTTCTTTTTTGACATTTTACTTTGTGATAAAATTTAGAAAATATCAAATCTGTTAAAAAAAAGCATCTTTTTATTTTTTTCCCTCTTCGCTTTGTTTTTTGTTATTTTTTTTTTTTTTTTAAAAAGGATTTGATTTAAAATGTAAATCTCCAAATTGAACAACAAACTTACATATTTTGAAAAACAAATATCGAGCGATACATCAATGGAAAGTATAGGTCTAGAGATACAAAAAGACGATTATCTCCCTTTGGGGGAGATGAAGTCATTTGTCGGCTTAGTGACATCATTTGACAGTGGTCAGTCCTTCAGTCAGTTTCCAAGAGTCAAACCAAGCGGTTGCTTTTTCTGCCTTCCTATGTTCTCGCTAGTGACATAGCAGATGAATCTGATCAGCTCGAATCTGTAATCCTAAACATGGCTTCTCCAGAAACACATAATAATCTCCAGTAGATCAAATTCCCGTTGAGAATTATTAGAAGTAAGGCTCTCTCTTTTCGTTTCTTTTTTACTGCTTGTTGTGTAAACATGTCTTTATAGTTTCTCTGCAAGGGCTAAATGTAGATGTGTATGATTTAACGGTATAAAATATCTATAAGAACAAAACATGTTTGCCAGTCCTTTTCCTTTCAGCCATTCCGTTCCGTCTATGAAATAAGGTATCGTTATACCATGGATAAAATAATGCCAATAATGGTGGGAATACAAAGCGGAAGATTAAAGCTTTCTTCCATAACTCACCAATTATCTGGTGACAACGATGTGATGATATTCAGAAGTTCGGAAATTTCTTAAGAAAGTAAGAAACAACGAAGCATCACTTGACATTAAGATTGCTTTTTCCCAGAATTCAATAACAAGTTTCTTAATATCATGAAAAGAGTCATGAATCAGAAACACATCCCCGAAAAAGTTTATGGGGCATCATACATTAATGCACTATGAATACAAAAAGGTTGCCCACAAGACACTCACACATACAAGGTTATCTCAAGGAGATAAGGAAATTAAACATAAGAAAAGGGCTGCGCTTGAGTTAGTTTCGCCTAATACCGCCAATTACTACAAAACCAAAACATTAAGCTGAACACACGGGTTTTGTCATAAAATAGCCTCGTCAGATCGAGATTTTCATCTGGCTGTCATGCATGATGACAAATCCGTTCAGAAATATCTAAATTGTCAGCTGTGTACAAGAGCTTTCTAAGATCCATAGTTTAGCTTTGAGCGAATGAAACCTGTAGGTCACTGTGAGGACCACCCTTCTTCGATACTTCTGGGCTGGCTCTACAGTATCACAAAGAACTGCGCCAAATAACAGAAATAACATCACTTGAGGACTTTCAACGGTAGAAACAACTAAAGTAAATAGCTTATGTAACTCAAAAAGAAAATAATGACATAATCATGATGTTAACTTTCCACACTACTTCAAACAAAAGGTTAGGAAGGAAACCTCCATCAATACGGGAAGGCGCAATAACTGTTACTGAACGCGAAAAACCTATTTTCCTGAAAATATGTTTTAAAAGAATGATTTTATAAATTTCATCCGACAGTGGCTCTGTCTGCGAGGTCAATAAATGCTAAATTTCTCATTATAAGGAATATTACCATTATCTGACACGGTTGTAGCAGCCACAACCCAAAAAGAAATGCTGTTTCCTCCATAGTCGGATTTTACAATAACTGTTATATGTGAAAAGCTCACCAGTCTATGTAAAAGTAAATTGTTTTAACATTGTTATAAATTGGCAATGCTGAAAAAAAAACAGGATCTTGAAATGATAAAAGCCGAAGCAGTAAGTTACTAAGATAGAAAATAACAAAAATAGGTAGATGGACGAATAAAAACTGAAGTCTGTTTTAGTTAAATATAGAAGCAGCCATTAACATTATACACACGTCCCGCGGTTATGCAACCACCCACAAACATAAAGAGATACACAAATAAATATATATATATATATATATGTGTGTGTATATATATATATATATATATATATATATATATATATATATATATATATATATGACCAGGCAGAACATGTGGTAAATGTTGCAAAGTATGCCAAGAAGAAAATCTATAGTCATATACCGTGACCGTTCTGAATTGTTGAATTTAAGGACGGAAATTATGTCAAAATGTTGACACATAAGAAAATACATTATAGGTCTATATGAACCCGGATAAAGGCAATTAATATAATTTCTTTTTTCTCCTCCCCCTCTTCTCCTGCCCACTTCCGGTATAAATAAGACAGTTGGTGTGCGCCAGAAAAAAAATAAAAGCCCAATAAGCCACCTGATGAGTTCATAAGATCAAAGCCCGGTTCGGAAAGGTACTGTTCGATATTACTATATTTATATATATGTTCACTGCTGCTAACATGCAGAATTTTTTCTACTGACATGCTGGCCGAAACTAGTCGAGGAATTTAATTAAAATAAAATAAATATTTCAGCGTTTTTTATGGTTATACGTTCTTTTTATAGATACAAATATTTAAATAAATACTCTGTTTATAATAAATAGTATTAAACAACATATACCGGCCTGAATGTCCGAGAAATTTTCATTGAAGATTTTCATCATGCGTTCTCCGGCAGGAATCGAACCTGTATCCTATACGGAACTGTCATATAGCCTGACGTGCCTTTACCGATTTAGCCACAGAGGAGCATTTCGGTTAGCAAGATCGATTTTACTGTTTTTAAACTACAATTCTCCATGATTTTCTGTGGTACATTTACATCTGCAATGCAAAACAAATGTAAACAAATGACGTCACACATTATGAAAAGGACAAAGTCCGACAATTATTTTAAATCATTTTCAGACTTTTGTCCATTATATATATATATATATATATATATATATATATATATATATATATATATATATATTTTATTATTATTATTATTTTAAAACTTACATTTTACTGGATATACGTGCTTGTGTAGACGCCTTGTTGGTTTTAAAACAGCGGGAATCACGTCTGCTGGTCTGTGTATTATTTATACAATGAATAAGAACATTACTTGAGACCGATATAAATCCTTTTAGAGAACGAAACGCGTCACAGAGAATTCTTCCACTTTGTCATTCAGCTGCTTAAAATTGTTTTGATATATAGAAATTTCAACACTGGGTAATCCATTATTTATGAGGTATTGGCAGGGCGTAACGGTCGTGCGAACTAACGCAGAGTGGGGGTGCGGAAACGAACACAGAAATAATAGGATAACTAAGCCGAAAAGCAGTAGGAGACTAATAGGGAAATAGAAGAATCAGAAGATTCTCCAGAATTCTTTAAAACAGGAACACATTTCTTTAGGTCGATGTCTGGGATCCCATCACCGCCGCTTGCCTTATGGATGTCTAATTTAGTAATGATGCCCGAGACCAGTGACGGAATTATGCGCATATCACTCAATAGAGCCTCTGTTCTAAGAGAGAAATCAGGTGTTGGTAATCCAAATGAATCGAGTGTTGAGTTGGAAGAGAATTTCCGAGCAAAGCATTCAACCATATCTGGTATAGATGTCAGGACTTCGTGTTGATTGAACCAGAGGAGGATTTGAGGATTTGCCGTTGTTCAGCACATCCTTGAAAAGCCGACAACAATCTCTAGAACCTATCTTGCGAGATGCTATATTTTGTCTCGTTCTATCAGCAAACAGTAACTTCGCTTCATTGAGGGCACGCTTGCACTCGTTACGAGCAGAGACAAAGAGACTTCTGTTGCAATCAGACGTGTCGCTCAGTTACAGCCGGAAGAAGTGATTCCTGTGGGCTATAGCGGCCGAGCATGAAGGTGAGGACCAAGGAGATGAACGCGGTTTAACTTGGTATTTCCTTGCTGGAATAAAAGCATCGATGTCGGCTTTCACCAAGGAGGGACCTCAGACGCGCATTTTTGAACAGGGTGATTAAAAACTTCATTCCAAGAAACGTCATGGAACGAGCCCCAATCTACTCGTTGATAACATAAAGATATTCCGTTGGTAAGATTCTTGGCTGGTGGGAGGCGGTAGGAGATGTTTACAGACACTACCGCATGATCAGAGTTGCCAAGTGGGCAGATAGAGGTAAAAAAGAGACCGAGAAGAGAAACGTGTCCGTTACGGTTACTGGGGAAACGCGTGAAGAAGTCAACCACTTGCGTGAGAGATTAAGTAATTGAGGCGCATTTTTGAACAGGATGATTAAAGACTTGATTCCAAGGGACGACACGAAAGAAGTCACGGAACGAATCCCAATCAGCTCGTTGATAGCAGAAAGATTTTCTGT